ATCATCAAATGGGCGATTTTCGGGCCAAATCTGGCAACCTTGACTTTCCTTGCCACTTATTGGCAACCCTAACCGCGCTTTGTGGGGAAGCTGTCTTACCGTAGCTGGGCATTTCGTAACAGCATTTTCAAAATTCGCTCTGGTGTTTAGCAAAGTGATGAATAAATTAGTAGCTTGATTAGTTTTAGTTTCAAAACCGAGCATTTTGCGCTTAAATTCACTACTTATAAACGCTCATCGTTGGAATTTAATTTGTGCAATTTTGTTTGTAAAACAAAAGTTCGTGAAACTGTGTACACATGCTCTGGACTGAAACAAACGCTTTTTGACACCAGTTTCGTTTTATCGGAAGTAGAGCACTATTACCAGCTATTTATTGATAGCTGAAGAAGGCACTTTTTTGCCATAAAATAAATAAAACTGTCGAATGATAAAAGAAAAGCTATTCTGCTGTTGCTGTTGTGGGGGATTATCCTTTGGGCGCTTGAGTGGTTTTCAGTTAGAAAGTCGTAGTCCCCAAAGCAGTGCATCAACTAGAGCAAAAGGAGGCTCTTTCAATTCCTGTAAAAGTTGCGCACCGAAGTTAGAACTACGGATGGTCGAGCCGCTTCGGAACCGAGTCAAAGAACCGATTCACTTTACTGAAAGCATAATTAGTGCTCTGGCGAAAACCGAACGGCAGTTCTTTAACGGTTCACTGAGAGCTGTTCTTGGGAAACATGCCAAACAATTTGATTCCTTTTAATTTAAACATCAACATTCTTTCCTTTAATATTTACCGGAAACGTCTGTGACCTATTTTTTATGTGTGTATGCGCATATATGTCTGCTTTTGGCTTGCTTCTGTTCCGCCTAGTATTTAAAAACCAAAATGTTAAATAAATATACGCATCTCAGCGAAACTGACCCCCCCCCATTTGCAAATGGATAGAGTTTAATTTCTCATATGGCAGCATGACGATCTCTTTAAAGTACGTAGATTATATGAACTAGTTCCTCGGATTCCCAGCTGTCAGCACTCCGGTGCTAGTCGCAGATCTGGGTCCGTCGGAGTCGTGATTATTCGCTCTTTCATTCCTCCTGCTCTAGCCGTGGATCTGGCAGTCTTGATTATTTCCTCTTTCCGTTTCCTCGGAGCTGTTCCTTTGAGTTTCATTTCGATTCTGTGAATACTGTGCCATAGTATAGCTATGTATATTATGTATTACCTTTTTTTATACACTACTAATGTAATATTTATGTAAACGTCTTGTAATTAAGAGTTGTGAATTTCTCTTTAATCTGCTTTAGAATTAGTATAAACATATTTAGAAATATATAATTTTCCACCTAATGTATTTTTTAAGGTTGCAGAACAAAATGTGGATCCTACTGAATAGAAGAACCTCGAGCGATATTTGGCATCATTTTGTCAAATTAGATATAAAAAAAAGGGAAAGTGCCGGCATTGTGAACATACAATATTCCGTTCTTTCGGATCTGTCTTCAATCTAAAAATTTATTTTTACACTGCACTTTGTAGCAGCAACAAAATATCAGTTTTAGTAATAAAATAATGTAATCAATAAAAGTGAGTTTAGTTTTCATTATTTTTTAACTTTTAGCATTTTTTTAATTAAAAATTTTATTGTTGTTCTATATAGAAGGGTTTTTTTAAGGGAATCTTAAAAGTACAGTTGAAAGAAATCAATCCAGGGAGTAAGCGGTTTGGTTGAGTTGATTCGAGCGACACCACTCTTTGCTCAATTCTTTCTACTTTTCCCTCATCATTACACACCGCTCTTGATCCAAGCCAGTTTGGAGCGCATTCATCAAGGTCATTGTTAGTGAGCGGAGAATTGTTAAAAGAAACCGATTCACTTCAGTAAGCGAATGGTTCCGATCTAATCCCTTAAAGGAGCGGTTCTGCCCTTCTTTAGTTAGAACGTCGTTATCAATTAACTTTACTTTCAAGTCTCATTGCATATTCGAGTTAATTCCTCAGATCAAAGACGTTGAGAATGATACCCAACGCTTTGAAGAGCTTCTTAAAAGTTTTCTGCTCGTCTTGCCTATCGTTACGCAATTTTACTAAACCCTTTAACGTTTTAGCTTAAAATTCCTGAAAGTTTGTTTTTTTTTCCCCCTCCCTGATGTCCAACAGAAGGGTGAAAAAGAACAGGACTTTTACACTTTCAGGAAACCTGTATCATCAGTGACACCTCATGCCGGCACACAGTGTCAAACTCTTCAGTTTGGGCTAAGAATTCAGATTTTCATATTTAGTATTTACCCGTGTTAACACTTAAAATAATATCTTCTGTCTATACCTACTTTAATTTTGAAACATTCTGAAAAATATGTAAAAATCTGAACTTTTTACTCAACTATTTTTTATACTATATTGATAAAATGAGCCTCAATATTCAAGTTTCATTTATGTATTTTCGTTTGCATTTTTTATAAATATATGTAATTCTAATAACTGTGTTCTTAAAATTTCTTATCATTTAACACGCAGAATTGAAAGTTTGCTTAAATTAAAAACTCTAATATTATGTAAAAATTGTATCTTTATTATTGTTACATAAGCATCTGTGAGATAAAAAAATGCTTTAGGATTTGGATTACAGAAAGCTTAAGATTCTACCCTCTCGTCCCGCTCCTGGGTTTTTTGTCAATTAACTTTGTCATAAATAAAAATTAAGTAAAATACCGGCATACAGGAGCACTATTTAAATACAGATTGGCTATATTGATGAATTTTATGAAATGCACGAAACAACCTTTCAAAAGAATCTATCTCGATCTTAAATCTTCTGTACAAGAACGTTCCGTACCTTATCTTTTATTCCCTTTTCCTTTTCGTTTTAAAAATTTCTTTTTGCAAACAGAAAGGAATCCAAAACTGAACGTAATCTTAGGACTAAGGGTAAATATAGCAAGCGATATGTGTTCCAGATTTATCCTTTTTTTCATTCAAAGCTCCTTGAGTCTTCACTAGACACGGCTGTTTTATTTACGTACAGGAAAAATGTGAATAAAGAAGCACCCTTTTAGAATAAGCAGCTTAAATCTACCTTAAGTTAAGGTTGCAGTGTTTCGAGCACATTTAAAACTGACACTTGTAACCTAGGCTAATAATAATGTGTAAATGTTTCTTCTTTTAATTACCATTCATATATTGGGTCATATAAAAAGTCTCTGCGCTTTTTTGGTACATTTTTGAAGAAAACTTTTCCTCATTGAAAATCAGTTTAAATCAACTAAATTTTCTTTACTGAAAACCAGTTTTAATCAACTAAATTTTCTTTATTGAAAATCACTTTTAATCAACTACATATTGACAATTATTATTCATGACCTTTGGCCATTTTTCGGGTAGCTTCATAAGTCCATCGCCGTGGTTTATTGTCGAAAAACTTGGCACCATTTTCAGTGGCGCTTCCGTCGGCCAATTTTTTTACCATCAGTAGAGTTTTGCAGAGACCGAAACAAATGGTTGTCAGATGGTGCAAAGTCCAGGCTATACAGTGGGTGCATCAAAACTTCCCAACCAAGTTCCGTCAGTTTGTTCCGAGTCATAAAAAATGTATGTAGCCTCGCATTGTCATTATGGAACACAATTCCCTTTCTGTTGGCCAGGCCTAGTCGCCCTTTCTGGACTGCTTAGTTCAAACGGTCGACTTGTGTACAGTACAGGGCCGAACTGATGGTTTCGTTAGGTTGCAGCAGCACATAATGGATAATTCCTTTCCAATCTCGACATCGAAATTTCAGGAATCTCCATTCCGTTGCAAACCGTTGTTGGGTCCTTCGTTCACTCATTGCATCCTCAGCCGTATACTTCACAAATTTCTCGCCATGTTTTGAAGCGTTTTTACCATTTTTATAGTAAAAAAGCATCAAATACCGTATTTCTTCAGACATTTCACTCATTTTCAAATAAATATAACTTTTGACACGAGCAACAAATTAGAAAACTATCTTCAAAACAATGGAAGCTGATTGTCACCTTTTAATCACATGTTCGTTTGATACTATCGGGGGAGTGCTGCCGGATATATAGGCATCAATACCATTTAGTGGCTAAAAAGCGCGGAAACTTTATATGATCCAATATATACAGGATGCATCAAAAAATTGTATACACATTTTGAACCGTATTAGAAACAGTATTTCCCGTGCTACAAAGTACAATTTCTGGAAGAAAGTAATGTTATCTTTCTTCAACAGCATACCTGGATGAAAATTTGCCAGGGCAGTAGATAGAAAGTAGAGGACCAATCGAGTTTCCTCCATGCTCTCCAGACCTTACGCCGCTGAAATTTTTTCTTATGGGGCACAGTAAAAGATGAGATGTTCAAACGTAAACTACGTAGCATAGACACATTTTGAGATTCAAGCGATGTTCGCAGAAATCCCACTGGACGCGTTCGTACGATGTACGGAATCAGTGGTGACTCGTACTCAGTAGGTGTCTCGGTATTGATGCTGAAGGCCGCCATTTTGAACAGTAGCACAATTGCGTGAGAAAGTGCATTTATGCTTCAAATTGGACTCTAAGCTTTCCATTTGCAGCAATTGAACCCTGTAGAATGGAACATAAATTTTCTATGGCGATTCGAAGTGTGTATAAATTTTTCTGATGCACTCTGTTATAAAACGTATCATGCCCTGTTTTACTTAAAATCTAAAGCACAACCAATAATTGGTGGTCTCTTTGGGAAAATGTTTTAAAATTTAATGCACAATGAATAACCGGCCGGCTCTTTGGGAAACTGCTTTAGCCAATGAAATCATTTTTAACTTCTTTATATTTATACATACATTTCGTTTTTACTCTTGAGAAATACACGAAAATTCTTGGTAACAGTACACTAAACTTCCACCCAACATACAGATAGATATCATTGATAGCTAATAACATAAATACGATGATAATATTCTCTTGTGAGAAAATAGAGCATCGTATTCGCTTCCAAAATTTCAAATTGAAATATTTCCTCTACTTAATGCTTACTTTCGCCACATAAATAGGTAATCCACAAGCAGCAAAAATTCACACGACGGCATGCCTGTCCCTTGCTCCAGTTTAACTATATTATTACTGATTTCAATAATGCTATGGAGAACTGCCCCTGAAATAAAGAACTGTATCAAATAGACAAGACTATAAAGATATGAAAACTAACTTAAGTTTAAGATATGAAAAGTTACTTAACACTTAATATTCTTCGTGCTTTAAAATAATGTTTAAAGCAGTATATGCGAGTTCTTATTATTGAAAAGAGAAACAGAAGCTTTAGCATCATGATCTTCATAACATTTAAGTCGTACCATCGTTTAAAAATTACTAAACCATTTGCTAGATATTTTTGAATCACCCTGTATACACATATACACTGAAATGGCTATGTGTATACAGGGTAATTCAGATATATCTGACAAAAATGCAAAGGCAGAGGGGAACGGAATAAGCAAAACTTTGTAACGGAACGTGAGGGGGCACTGAAATGATGCTCTGAGGTGATACAGGACGCTGTTGAGGGAAAAATAAAAGCGTTCTGGTGGAATAAATCACCATTCCCCATATGTTCGAATTCTTGAGAAGGCAGGGATGTTCGTAAATGGATATCTATACGGTATAGAGGGCACTGAAAATGCTGGTGACCAGGAAGTCCTTTTCAATGGTTTACTAGCAGAGAAAAAGGTGAGGCAGAATCTCCGATCCATCCACTATGGTGTTTTCTATCAAGACCATAGCGGAGCTAAAGTATTGTGTACCTGATATAACGTATTGCATAATGTATTCTCCAGAGTAAAGTTTCATCTGTAATTACTATATCATCTAATAACAAAATTTAATATTCTACAGTGTGCCTGCATGCTTTATGTATGTTTATTTGCGCATTTTACATGTGATATGTGATCTAAATGTGTCTAAATGATCTAAATGTGTCTTTAGTGTAAGTGTATACTATATATTAGCTTAAATATGTTTCATTATAAGTATGTGTTTACTTGTATAAGTGTGTGCCAAACTAGTATCTAATTTCTATTTTTATATAATGTGCTTACATGTTTTATATGTGTTATATATGTGCTTTTTATATGTGTTTTACAAGTGTTTTGTATGTATCTTTATATGTGCAATTGTATGTACTTGTATGTGTATGTATATGCTGTAATTAGTGTCTAACAGTGTCTAAAAACCAAGATGTAACAAATCATCCGCCTATCGATCAAAACTAATGTATTCCTAAGACGCTTCTGTATGGCCATGTACAATTACGTAAAATTCTTCAATAAACTCCCAAGGTGGCCTCATGAGGCTCCTGGGAGTTGCTGCCACTAGATAGGGGAGGGCGCGGGACATATGCCTGTTTACCTCTGTTAAACATCAGGCGTCCCCGTCCTCCGTCACCTGCCTAATGCAGGGGAAAAGGTGACTCTGTACCACTTCAACTCATGGTTCATTGGCTTGGTTTTGTTTATTTTTATACAGGTAAGCGAGAGCTATCTGCCTAATGCAGGGCCTTCGTGAGGGAATTTTAATCGGAACATTCACATTATACACGAGGGTAACCACGAAAACGCCTATTCAGCCAGCTGGTTCGCGTAGCATCTTAATAACGCGAAGGATGAGATTTATTAACCGGTAGACTTAAATCAAGAACTTTTCTTAAACAAAACACGCATTATTATATTTATAACATAAATTTTGTTTAAATAAAACATATATCATTTTACTTATAACGCAGATTTTCTTTAAATAAAATATACGTCATTCTACTTATTACATAGATTTTGTTTAAATAAAACATATATCATGCTACTTATCAAGTAGATTCATTTAAATAAAATATATATTATTCTACTTAACGCGTAGATACTGTTTAAATAAAATATACATTATTCCACTTATCACGTAGATTTTGTTTAAATAAAAAAGACATTTTTTTACTTTTAACATAGATTTTTTTAGAGAAAACATCCATTATTCTACTTATAGCATGATTTAGTTTAAAATCTGGAAAAATTATTCAAGTGCAGTTGCTTTCGTATCTTGTCCCCTAGTAGAGTTTTCAAATTCAGAAAGAATTTAAAACCAAAACTGAAAGTTGAATAATATATTTCTTTCAGATGCTTTCAAGGTAAGCTGGTCTAGAAGCAGAAGATTTTACCAAGTCCTAGCTAACTTACATAGGACCCTCTTTAAAAAACTATATCCACAAGCGGACGTCTGGATAAGACCGCTAAATACTGGTAGTTCCATCGAGGTTTGAAATTTGAAGAACGACGAACTGTGTTATGTTTTCGTAGTTTTCTGATATATAACGATCCAGTTTCCTTTATAATATCCTCTATGAAGGCAAATTTACTCTTAGGCAGATAGTTTTCGTTTGCTTTACCTTTACTGATTAAACAAATATTTTAAAACCTAGATGAAAACATTGTTTATCAAAAGATGATAATTATTTTACTCCTAGTACGGGTTTCTAATCTGAAGAAAATGAAAGTGGTACTATCCATATGAGAGCGGTGGTATCATCCATATACAATGTTATTTCTAATAATGAAGAAGAGACGACAGTTATTTGGTCTATTTGTTACCGGTAATGCGTGAAACCACGGCATTAAAATAGCTAGGCATTTTGTAGAATGCCTGGCATTCTGGCATTTTTAGGCAGAGTATGATATATGAGAATAAGGCAGTGTATATAATACCTAGGCATTCTATAGAATGAAAATTGGCAAAGATATTTAGGCAAAGATAAAGTATGAAAGTTGAGCAATACAAAAAAAAATGAGCAATACATTCGCCGGGAATCGAACCATGGATCTCTGGAATACGCGCCCAGCTTGCTGACCACTACACTACGAAGGCCTGCTAAGAAGGCGGGAGAAATATCTTATACAGTATGAAAAATCATGAGAGTATGGAACGACAAATGTTATTTAAACAAAGTATGAAAAAAGGTCATGATCAGGGTATTTTTTAAAAGACGTGCATTCTTTAAAAATACAAATATTAATGAAAGAGCCGCATTAAAAAACTCTTATTCAACATCAGTAAAAAAATGTAAATTGTGCAAAACAAAAATTTCTTAATAAAGAAAACAATGTATGAAAATTGTGGAATTATGAAATGAATGTCTTAAATGCGTTCACTTTCGAAAGGAATCGGAAATGTATTTTGTACTTTGCCGGTTTGCCATTTGGCTTTTCTATAGCCTGTTTTCTGTCATTACGGCAGAGCCTCGATAGCTATCTGCCTAAGGGGAGGGATGCTTTCGTGCAGGACTTTCTAAAGGACACTGCCTAGTATACGCATTAAACATTGGGAAAACAACGAAAACGCCCATGTAGCCAACCCGTTTGCGGGATTCGAACCTTGGATCGAACTACCAGTGCTCAGCGACTTTACCACTCGCCCACTGGTGAGACATTGGCATTCTATAGAACTGTTAGGAAATGTTAATAGTTTCATATATTGCCGTCCAGTTTGGGGGATTCCATAAAGTGCTGGCTGTCATACATTGCCGATAACGTATTCATTACCTAATCCTGCATGAATTCTTCAAACAATAGAGCTTCAGCTATGGTTTATATCATAGTAGGGCTAGTGAAAAGCTTAACTTCGGTAAAAACATAATTCAGCGAAGGCCAGCTTTGACCTTTACGGAAATTTCACTATGATCCAACTGCCCTCGATTTGACTAATCTCTATCTAATTGATCGAACTAATCTTACATTTCACTTCTCTAATAATAATTCTTTTGCGGGAATTTTATAGAAATGCCTGAATCTATTTTGACTTCAGCCATACGGACGCATGATAATGTTTTATTAATAAATCAGCTTTAATTGACCACTTAAGTGGCGGCTTTTGCTAATAGTCCCGAACTGATGACGCGTTGTTTAAATACATAGCCTCAAAATACACATTAACAGTAATTAAACTTCAGTTCTCGGGCTAAATGAGAGAAAAAGTCCAATTAACAACCCACGTAATTATCTGACAAAACTAAAACTTTTGACATCCTTTGCTGTAATGATAGCTTCAGGTAAATCAAATCAACGACACGGGTATTTAAAATTAATAAACTGAAACAAGCTTCGTAAAATACCATTAGGAGATCCGTTGACCTTGGATACCGGTCTTTAATGGCTACTGTGAGCTGAATTGTATTACCTTTTAAAGATCTGACATGTATTTCCATTCCAAATTTATTTACGTGTGGTAAACATACATATATATATATATATGTTAGAAAAATATTCTACATTTCTCGAATAATTTTCTTATTTTCCACAGATATGAAGAACTTCGTTGCAGACCGTAAGCCAATTTTTTAATCTTTTATTAAGATGTTACATGGTGAATATTATATGTTTGGTTTAGCTTATTTAAAAATGGCAAAGCACTTGAGGGCTATTTGCCTAAGAGGAGGGATATCTTGGTGGAGGATAGCTGGGTCTAAGGGAAGCTGACTCGTATACGCATTATAAGTATCGTATGCATACGGAGCGTTAATTATATCTCATGGAAATTGGCATGAGAAAATCACTCAAAGTATACCATTTGCGAAGGAAAGAGTTAAAAAGAAACTTCTGAAGAACAGAGGTAAAAATCATACATGAATAATAAAAAGCTACGTAATAGAAACCTAAAGATTTTTATTAACAGCAAAACGACCTGTCACGAATTTTAAAAGCACTGAAAGAAAGTAAAACAATTATAGATCTTCATTCCACATGGTTATCTTAAAATATCTAATAGCTGTAGGTGCACAGGGGGATAAAGAAAACGGATGGCACTCAACTTGCAATAGGAAGGCTAGTGTTCTCTTTTAGAAGTTCTTTGTCAATAGTTTCTGCAGATATTATCCTCAAGGAAAAAGACAATGGATTGACACTAAACGTGCAATACACTGAGTTTTACTAAGGAGAAGTCTAATGTTCTCTCGTTGAAGTTTTTTGTCAATAATTTGTGCAGATTGTATCTTCAAGGAAAAAGAAAATGGATTGGCACTACTAAACATTCGGCTTCGCGGAAGATACGAGAGGTCTAATGTTTTTTCGTAGAAGTTCTTTATCAATAGTTTCTGCAGATATTATCCTCAAGGAAAAAGAC